TGGTTTTCCATCTGGCTTAGGTTGCTCAGTGTCTCCCAAGGTTTGAGTAAAGGTCAGCAGCTCATCCAGGCACAGTCACTAATGGCTTTCATCTGTTTGCAGTTGTGCTTGCTGCAGGCAGGGAAATCCTTCAAAGTTCATCCCCCTTTTATTTTTGGCTTTCAACCAATACAAGGCTGGCGCAATTGTTTTATTGGAATGGTCAGGTAAAACTACACCTAATCCTGCCCTGAAGAGGCATTGTTGCAATATTAGTACATGAAAGGCACTGCAGTTAGTCTGCTGAAATATGGGGACAATATGGAATTTTAGTGATTTCGAACACTAGTGGTTTCTGAACCTAGTGCCTTTTCTTGCACACTGCAAGTCAGGAAGCTGCTGGCTAGTGGGGTTTGCTTCTCACTGTCTGAATGAGAGAAATGTTCAGGAACTTTGTGAGGCAGTTAAAATACGAAACAGATTTGTTTTAGTTTAAATATGAGGTTTATTTTCACTTATGTTTGGTTAAATATGAGGTTAAAGACATAGATTTGAATATGTAGTGTTCAGCAGTGTTCTTGTTTTTACAGTGGTGTATTTGTGGCAGCCACAGACTTGTTTGGCACACAGCTTTCTCTTTGCTTTCTCCTTTCAATTGTCTGTAGATGTCAGGAGAGTGGCAGTGAGGTCCAAAGCCACCTGCAGCAGCAGAGCTCTTCCCATGGACACAGCAGACTTTGAATTCAGTGCTGACACCAGGAGAGGTGGTCCCTGGCCTTCCCAAGCTCATGTAGCTGCAGCAAAATGTGACCACTTTTGTATTCAGCCTGAGAATTCCACACACGGAAAGACAGAGTAAACCCATATGCCTCTGTTTTCTTTAGTTAGCTAGTTGTCCTTGGAGAAAATGTGTTCTCATAGAAGAGTGGAAATTACTCCCTTTTTTAGTGGAAATAACCATCAAAGACACAGTTATTCAGTAATCTCTGTAATGTCTGTCAGGCTCCTGGGCTTTCACTGAAGAAAACAAGGTATTAAACACAAAAAATGTATTGTTTTGCATTTAAGTCAAAGTATCTGTGAATATAAATTTGGACATTTTAGCCAACTTTTTCCTCTAGTAAATATTTTATAAATCTGTATTTGTAGTCATTTGGGTTTTGTTTTATTAATTTAAAATCTGTGAAGAGCATCTGTTACTCTGTGCCCACAGTATCATCTAATCCCCATTTGGTGAACATTTCTGCTGGCTTAAGGACATCTTTAAAGCTGACAGGCAGCAATTAGGACAACCCTTGTAATTGGATTTGTAATCCAGAGGATCCCTCTCTCTGTGGCTTCCTGCTGCTCTGTCAAACAGAAGCTAAAGGAGGAAAAAATCACATTCACCTTCTCTGCTGTGGTGTAAAGGGATGTCCTGCTCAAGCTGCTGCCTGGCAGAAGGGTGCCCAGGGCAGGGACTTGGTTTTTGGCTTACTGGCTGGTAGTGGTTAGTTGTCTCTTCTTGCTGGGGCAAATCCAGCTGTGCCAGGCACTGCTCAGGCTTCAAACAGGACCAAGTTTGCTCTGAAGAGCACTGTGATATGCAGCACTTTAACCTTGCAAATTTTTGGAGCAGCACTGCCTCTTTTGGGGAATTTGCTGCCACCTTAGTTAGAAAGGGTTATTTGACACAACTGGAAAATGCCTCTGAGGCTGGAGACTTCAGCTCACCACATCAGCCTGTTGTCTGTTGATGAAGAGTGTGTCAGGGAGAAACTCAGGAAATGCTCTGCACTGGGGCTCAGAGAGCAGCACTGACAAAGGGCTGTGGACAGCAGTCAGCTTCAGAGCCTCTTGCCTGATTTGACACTCATCCTCCTTGCACTGCCGTGGTGAGTTTGGTATTCTGTGACCACCTCAGTTCTTTGATTATGGACAATTAAATCTGCATTGTTAGTGCTGTGGATTGCTTGAGTCAAGTGAGGCTGGATGCCTTCTCTGTACTTGTTCAAACAGCAGAACTCAAGTCAGGCAGGCATCCGTGTTCATTCACGTCCAGAAGCCTTGGAAATGCTCAGGGGTGATCAAGGCACCCCTGCTGAAATGAGGGCCAGGCTGTGAGCTGTGTCTGCAAGCAGGTATTAGTGCACTTGGGATGCTGGCAGCAGTGATTTTGCAGTAATCCCCCACGAAGGAAGCCCCTCTGAGGTGTCTGAGACCTTTCGCACTTCTCACTGTGAGTCAGTCCCTGTTGCCCAAGGTGTGTAGAGAATTAGTTCCCTTTCAGACTCAATTGTGCAGTGGATTGGTGATAAATCATATATTAAAGAACGAGTTCCAAAGGAGAGGTGTGAGGTGAAGGAAGGCATTAGAGATGAGGGAAGTGCTGCCCCCTGAACAGTGCTGAATCCAGCACACAGCTGAGTCAAATCCTGTGGCCAGCTCATCTGAGGGCATCTTTCTTCCTACTGCTCTTAATCAGACTGGATTTTCCCAATCTGAAGAAAGTGCAAAGATTTGGTGCTCTCTTTCTTCTGTGCATTCTCAGTTTGAAATCTCACTTTCTTATGTGAGAGGTGAGAGACACTTTTCCATTTTTCCACTTTTCCAGCAGCTGCCCCCTCATTCCCTGTCATTAATGCTGAGCTATCTCATGCTCATTCAGAGTTTAAAGCTGCCATCAGTGCTCTTGATTTGTTTATCCATCATATCCCAGAATTATGTTATTCTTCCCAAATGTACCTCATGTGCATCACATAAATGTCAGTTTATGTGTAAAGACATCCCAAAACCTCATCTCATTTGGCTAAAGCAATAACACCATCTTAAAGGATGACTACTTCATGAATGAACTTTCATTCATTTTGGAGTTTCATTTCAAAGGGTAGGTGTTTTTTAGAGGCTGCTAAAGCATAAAATTATACAGTGTAATGCCATTGACCTAATTCCGATTTCTTCTTTGTATAGAGAGTGCTCAGTCTAACTTCCACCATTTCCCAAATGTCTGTGGTTTGATGGAGCCAAAGCATTAGGATGATGTCTTTAATGATGGGTTTATAAGGTGAAGGTTATTGCAGTGGCAGGGAATTGGCACAAGCAAGATAATAAGTAATATACCAGAAAGGAAGCAGCTGCCTTGCCAAAGGTGAACTGATGAGCATTGCCATGTAGAGGAAAGGAAGAGCAAATCCTGGAACTAGTACTTGAGCTAAGAAAACACATGCTACAGTCACAGAAGGCATTTATAATCCTTAATTTTCAGAAGAAATTCCATCACTTGATTACTGCCAAATGGTAATTTTCTGGTAATGACAAATTGCAGATGAATTCTCCAGAATCCTGAAAAACACTTAGCTGGAGTGTTAAAAATGCCCTGGTTAATCTCTTTAGCATGTAATTCTTCCTGCTAAGAAATTCGGAGTCCCACAGGATTAGCTTTATGAACGTGTGATGTTCACAGCAACTCCAGAAAAGCAATTCAGGCACAACAGTGGCCTCAGTATTGGTTATTTCTTGGGTGGAGGAGCTCAAGGAGGGCATGGCCAGCCACAGACACATAGACCACTGAGGAGTGGTACTCCATGGCAGCCAGGTGCCCGGAGGGGAGCACAGAATTCTTTTTTTGCTCTCTAGCTGCAGACCACTGGTGCTCCATGGCAGCCAGGTGCCCGGAGGGGAGCACAGAATTTCTTTTTTTGCTCTCTAGCTGCTTGGATGTGCAGGGTTTCTTTTGTTTCTTTAAAAGGGCAAAAAAGAACTTAAAGAGAAATAAAGATAATCAAAGGCACAGAACGAGTTTGGCATGAGGAGAGAGTGAATAGAATAGCATTCTTCAGCTCCAAAAGAGATGTCAGACAGGAGAGATGATAACAGGTCTATAAAATCATTAAGAAGATGGAAAATGTGACCAGATAGTGATTATTCACTGCTTCTCACAGTAGACGTATTGAGGGAGGTTAAAGGAAATTATCAGGCAGCAAATTTAAATGAGCAAGAAACACTTGGTTCAGATGAAAAACAGAGTTTGAGGAGCTGAATGCCATTGAGTATTGTGGATTTAGAAATGAGATGAAGGATTTATAAGATGTATCACGAAGATAAATCTCTCAAAGGTTATTTTAAAAATGAGATCTGGATGCAAATTCTTGATTGGGAATTTTCTGAAGTATAGTGCTTACAGCTGCCCCATTTTGTACCACGGACCTGAACTTCTGGTATTTGCCAAAGACACAAGACAGGACTAGATGAACCCATGATGCTTTAACTAGATCTGGCCCATCACCTGTTTTCCCATGCACACAGGTTGTGGCATTCCAAAATATGTTGTTTCTTCTGGACAGTTTTGGGTCTGTCCTGATTTTGGACTGAGCTTCACAGATCAAGGGATGAAGTTTGGATCTCAGTACATGTGAAAAATATTTGAGTGATGTCTTGCAGAGACCACTTTCTGTTTGCACTGAGATTGTCTGCAACAGCCCTGAGATCCAGAACTTTACTTTCATGCGCCTGTGATGCCATGGCAAAAGTGGCTATTTTTCTGTCAGGGCTATTTTAATTACTGTAAGAATCTTGGTTTTGAGTCTTCATAGCCGTAGTGCTTTCATATTTTAAAAATTTTGCTCTTTAAAATTTGCTCCTTTCTACCCTATGACAGCGATTTCAAACTACCCCCCTCAAACTGGAGGGCATGGAGTGGTCAGTGGAACACAGCAGAGTGGTGACTGCCTTTTCTACACCCAGAAATTCCAATTAATGAAATTCCAATTAATGCTAGAAAAGTAGGAGTCAGGCTGCATTCACTGAGTGAGCTGTGGCGCACAGCAAAGCTGCTGCTGTTCCTGGAAGAGGGCGTCCTACTCTGGAGCTGTGCTCCCAGGAGTGTTGCTGGTTGTTTTCCCTTTCACCTGGAAGCAGTAACTTCTCTTCCAAGCAGCTTTAGGCAGTGGGCTGAATGCGTGCAGGACCTGCATTGTCTCTGCTGCCTCTTTGGAGCCCTGTCTCCAAAGGTAACAGTCTCCTTTTTGGTTTCATTTTCCTAGGGATATCTATGCCTATTCCGGTCATTGGTTTGCAGGATGACTCTCGGGTGTTTGTAAACGGGACCTGTGTCCTTAATGACGAGAACTTCGTCCTCATTGGATCCTTCATGGCTTTCTTCATCCCTCTCATCATCATGGTGATCACGTATTGCCTGACTGTCCAGGTGCTGCAGAGACAGGCCACAGTGTTCATGTGTGGAGAGGTGCCCAAGCAGAGGAGGAGCAGCGTGAACTGCCTCAAGAAGGAAAACAACACAGAGAACATCTCAATGCTTCACAATCACGAGGGGGCCTCCCACTTGAACTCCCCTGTAAATAAGGAGGCGGTGCTTTTCCGGAAAGGAACGATGCAGTCCATCAACAACGAGCGAAGAGCCTCCAAGGTCCTGGGCATCGTCTTCTTTTTGTTCCTCATCATGTGGTGCCCGTTTTTCATCACTAATGTCATGTCTGTCCTTTGCAAGGAAGCCTGTGATAAAGACCTGTTGAGTGAACTCCTGGATGTGTTTGTTTGGGTGGGGTATGTATGCTCTGGGGTCAATCCCCTGGTGTACACCCTCTTCAACAAAACCTACCGCAGGGCTTTCTCCAATTACATCCGCTGCCAATACAGGCCTGGGAAAAAATCAGCACTGCGGCAGAACCAATGTCTGAATGTGGCTTCAACAGCTTTGTATGGGAAAGACCTGACTTTAACCAGTTATCGAAATGGCAATGAGTTCAATAGCATGGAACTAGATGAAGCTGAGGAGGGCCTTGAGATGCAACCAGGGACTTCAGAGCTCTCCATAAACAGCTGTAATGTTGTAAGTGAACGAGTGAGCTGTGTGTAAAAGTGACTCTCACAGACCTTTGCTACGGGGTATCTGTAGCCAAAATATATTGTGTAAAAATGTAAGTGTCGGTCAAAGGACTGTGTAAATATTGCATTCTGAACAAAGCTTTCGGTTTTTTTTAAAGAGAAAAAAGAGTTGTCTTTCCAGTCCAGTACTTAAAATAATATATATTAATATACTGCAGTGAAGTTTAAGGTTCTATATTTACTGTTAATACTAGATCAGAACTATTAGTTACTTTGCATATGTCATGGACAAAATGTTTGAATTCTTCTTCCAGTGCATGAACAAAAATGCTGAATATTTATCTCAGGTGGAATTTGCTGGAGTCCAGAATGGCACGTTAATAGTTATATATCAAATACATGCTATTAGACTTGGTCAGTATAACTTTCTTTTTCAAGTTGACAGTAAATATATACTTTAAATCCTCACCCCTATTTGTGCCGTGTAAAGACTTTACAGAAACCTGGCAGAGAGACATCACAGCAGCGTAGTGGCCGTGCAGGCACCTGGCCAGACATGTCCTGTTATGTGTAGGGGCTTCTGCCATAATGGGTCAATCTTGCACTTCAAGGGACCTTTGTTAGATTCTGGCTCCCTCTTCAATCCTGCTGTTTTCTTTCCATCCCTCAGGAGGCTCTGGCTCCCCTAAGAAAGGCAGGGAATGTGGTTTTTTGCAGTCCTGGCTGGGATCACTCTCAGGCTTGGAGAAGAAGTGTGAGAGGCAGAACGATCCCCAGCTATTTAGTTCAAACATTCACTAAATGGAAGGCCCAGGATCCATTAAAATCCCTCCTCTGGTCTTGCAGATAACCATCAGCTCTGGGGTGGAGCAGGCTGTGTGGCTAGCACTGCCTTCACAGATTTCTGGAGGACCAGGGGCTTTGGCCTGTCTGAGGAAGAGCACTCTGGCTTTGGAAGAGCCCAAATCTCTTCTCTTCTCACTCCTCACATCTAGATATTCTTTAGCTGGTTTGGCATTTGCTTTTATTTTCCAGCCCAGTGCTGGTGACAGAACAGTGCTTTGGGCACAGAGCAGAAGGTTCTCTGTGTGTGGTGCTGGCCAGGTCAGGCTGTGAGCAGCAGGATGTGCCTGCCTGGGGAATGCTGGAGAGAGGAGTAAGAGAGGTCCCTGCTCTGTCTCAGGAGGAGGTGGGCAGAGCTGAACAGAGCATGTGATTGGAATCATTTGCTGGTGACATGGTTCTAAAGCAAATGGTGACCAGGGACAGCAGGGAAGCAGACCTGGAGCTAGTCTGCATGGAGTATGGATCTGGAGAAACTTTAAAATTTGATTTATTCCATTTTACTCCCAAAGTAAATTAGAGTCTATCATATTAACACCACTTACATCTTTAATGAAAGCATCCACATTGGGAATGAATTTATTTTAGGTAATCTGCTTTTAATATACACCATGTATAATTTGAATTAATTTTCCTCTGCATTCCTGTGTACACAAACCCTCCAAGGCACTGTGTCTTTCTGGCACTGTGCCTCTGGGGTGATGCCTCTCATGCAGATTTCCTTATGTGGAGTATTGTCTAATGCCAGATATCACCCATAAGGTTTTTATATCTTCATTAACTACTACACAGATGCTGCAGTGCCCATCTAACACGGATGCATTTAGCATCACTGACAGCCTCTGGCTACGATAATTGTCAGAACACAGAAGCTTACACTAGGCATGGATAAATCACATTTTATTTACATGAATTGCTTGTACTCTCAGTTTGCTGTGTTCATTCCATTAAAACTAACTTGTAGAAGAACTGGAAAATTCTGCCAGTGCTTGAGGTGCTGTTGCATGGCTGTATGCAGCTACAACCTTGCTGAGGCCACTACTAAAACACAACATTTGGGTTGTATCTGCTGTTGGGTTGATTCCAGAATGATGCAATGAAGTCGATCATCTTTTCTCCCTCATCCCCTCCTGGGATAAATCCATAGCACTCCCCTGCAGGCAGATGAGGTATCCCAGTGCAGAGTGCAGCTCACTGCTTGCAGAAGGCAGCAGAGCTGCTCCATGTGCCAGCCTGCAGATACCGCCATGGGCTTGAAGGCTTGGGAATCCACTTGCCTCTCCAAAAAGGTCAAGTAATCAGCAGGAAAACCACTGGCCAGAGACACAGTTGCACCTTCAGCAACTGCCCTTTATCCTGACAGATTTTATTATCTCAAAAAGTACAGAAAAATCAAAAAAATCACAGTGCATTTTAATTTCCCCCCTTTGGGTGAATTTATAGCACATCTCTTCCAAACATGTATATGTGTATATATATATATACACACACACACACGTGTGAGTTTGTACTTATATATATACACATATATACATATCTATCTTTCAGAACCAACCACAGATTTGAAAGCATTTAGCAATAAGTTGAATTACAGTAGCTTCTAGCACATGTGTGAGTCGTGTGAATAGCTCATTTTCCAGCTGGAGCTCAGCGTAAGTGTTCACACAGGCATTGTCTTCGCATGGGAGCTTTCATGTCTCACCCTTGCCACTTCTGTTCTATGGGCAAAAAGAGAACCTGCTATATTTGGATGTAAATAATGAGAATTGAACAGAAAATTTTCAGAATTTTTATAAGTGTTTTTAAAAAAAATTCAGCGCCAGAACTGTAAATATGCCAACCTCAGCTGGACCCGTTCTGATGTCCATCTCTCATCTGGATGAAGAGCCAAGGGGACTGACTGCCTTACAGCACCTGCGTTCCTCCCAGCCAGCAGGGGAGAGCATTTCTCTGAATGGTTAAATACTGTCACGTACCCAACTTTCTTTGGGTCATTCACATCAGGGTTTTGTGATGCTGCTATTAATTTATTAAAGAAAGTTTGTTGGTTTAACCATTCTTCTTTTTTTTTTTTCATGATCTATCAGAAAATTAATAAATGAACATGCCCTCTCTTTCTTTCATCTGTCCCCAGTTAAAATATGTCCTGACATAAAACCAAACCAACAACAAAAAATGAGGATAAGGACCTATACTTGAAGTATGGCCCACCGGTGCTTAATCACAGGAATTAGTGTCAGCAGATGTCCCAACATTCCCAACCCCAAAACTTGTTAAATGTGAAAGCAGTGATAGAATATTCTCCCTCTTCAAATTGCTCCCCTTCAGGAACAACTGTTCAAATTTACAATTTTTAAAACTATGTGAATTTGAAGAACTGATTTAGTTCTGTGAAACTTAACCAAAGTCAGGTTGTTCCCACAGCTCCTTTGCTTCTCCTGAGATGTAACCATTAACTGTGGTGGTGCCTTCAGAAGCCCTTCCTGGGGCTGTCTTGTGGAAACATCTACTGGAAACTTTGTGTGAGTCCTCAAATCCCAGCTCAGGTATGGTTTTGTCTTACAAATAGTGTCTGTGGTAGTGTTTTGCTTTGATTTGGACTGAAGAAGTGAAGATAGTTCCTTGGAAATGGTTGGAGGCTGAGATGTGCTGGCTGCTTTGTTTCCCAAACCAGATGGAGCCATGCAGGCAGGCTGCCCATGGGACAGCACACACAGGCAGAGGCTCTGCCCCAGCAAACAGACCACCCCCTTGGACTGGAACTGGGCAATCTGCTCTGGGGGCAGCCCAGCTCAGAGCTGGCATCTTCCTGAGCTGTAGGGGCCTGCAGTCTTCCCTGCCCAGGGTCAGAAGCAAGGCTGGCCATGGTGTTCAGGCACAAATCCCTGTGACTGAGCAGCCTTGTTTCTAGATCTGAGCTGCTCATGCTGCCCCACACAGCCAGGTCTGGGGGGATCCATGGGATCAGCTGTGGTGGGTTTGGGGACCCGTGTGTGCCTCACAGAGTGTGCTTTGAGGAGAAGGTGAGCTCCTCCTGTCCTGTGCTTGAGGAAGGTAAGAGCAGCTACCCAAAGGCGGTGGCATTTGGGAGGCGACAAGGTTCAGAGCCAATGCTGAGGAGTCCTAAGGCATCCCACCTCAGCACAGCTCATTATTATCTGAAGAACTGTGAGTCTTCTTGAGCAGCCTTGTTTCTAGATCTGAGCCACTCATCTGCATCTGTAACATGCTGCCCCACACAGCCAGGTCTGGGGGGATCCATGGGATCAGCTGTGGTGGGTTTGGGGACCCGTGTGTGCCTCACAGAGTGTGCTTTGAGGAGAAGGTGAGCTCCTCCTGTCCTGTGCTTGAGGAAGGTAAGAGCAGCTACCCAAAGGCGGTGGCATTTGGGAGGCGACAAGGTTCAGAGCCAATGCTGAGGAGTCCTAAGGCATCCCACCTCAGCACAGCTCATTATTATCTGAAGAACTGTGAGTCTTCAATAGTTTTCATCTGAGTGATAATTTACAGATGTAAATGTGAGGCAATGTGTGAGTAAGCACTGTGAACAGTGTTGTTCTTGCTGTTTTCTCTGCAGAAACACTCATGTCAATCCTTAGAGCCTTTCTTCTGGACAGCCCTGTGAAGAGTTTCATCAGTGGTCTGGAGGGTGCCTGGTGCTCTTCCCAGTCGCCATCCAAGATGTTGGAGCCACGAGGGCCCTGGAGAGATGCAAATTCCAAAGAAGAAACATGTTTTTTGAGGAAGAAAAGCAAACCACAATCAGCCCTTCAGAAACACCATTTCCCTTTGAGCTACTGAAGGGTGTGTGATGCTGTGGCAGACAAATTGTGTATTCCAAAAGCAGAGCCTGTCATGTGACAAAGGAGCAGATGTCTCTTGGATGGCTTTCCTCCCTGTGTCACAGTATCATTAGGATAGCTATGTGCCAGCAACTGCACTTGGCTTTGTCTCCATTTCAGGGGCGGAAAAGGCATCAGAGGCTTTTTCCTAGGAAAAGACACACAAAAGAGCACCGAGCTTTGTGCAGGTGAAGCAGAAGGACAGAGCTAGACAGATGTGTGCACACATCCCAGAGAGCCACAGATGTCATCACACTTTATTCTTCCCTCGGAAAAAAAAAATGGCAATATCTGAAAAGCTGGGGAGGAAACCTGTGATGGGGAGATCAAATATACCTGCTGGTGTGATTGTCAGGTAGGGGCTGTTCCAGTGATAATGTAGTTTGTGGGGGTCCATGTATCCAAAAACATGCTTTTTTTTTTTTTTTTCATTTTTAACTATGAAGTTGTTATTATCTGTTTTATCTCTTCCCCGTTTTTCTGGAAGTCTCAGGTCTTTTGCTTGTTTGCTTTCACACACACTGAAACCTGTGCTCTGAAGCTGTCAGAAAACATCCATGGGATGTGCCATTCCCTCTCAGCTGTGCAGGGATGCTGCAACCCCACAACAACATGGAGATGGAAAGGCTTCAGGTGAAGGATTTTAGATCTATACGCCACAGACAATCAATGCAACGAGGCACACTTGCTGATTAAAAAAACCACACCAGAATGTCTTTAATGAAGTCAAGTACATGAGCTACACACTAAAAAAATTTGCTTAAGACTGTCCTAAATGCCAAGTTTTGCTGACAGCAGGAGGGTGTGTGGGTACATGTGGAGGGAGTGTGGCAGCAGCAGGGTTTCTGCTCCGGGCAGATCTCCCACATGGTCCCTCCAGGAGGATTCTTGTCTCAGGACCAGCACGGCGTGTCCCAGCACGCTGTCCCCCGGGATTCACTCCACCCTTCCCAACCACACAAAAGGTTACACAAGCCCATCCTCCTGGGCCACAGCTCCCAGGGTCTGTGCAGGCTCCTGGTAAGTGGGTAAGTGTCTGCTGGTGACAAAGGCCAAATAAGGTGGCTCTGGGGTGGTGACAAGAGAATTATACAGACTGCTCACAGCAGGCAATGGGTGACAAATTATTGTGGAACACTGAGACTCTGGAGCAATCCTTCTTCTGTATTACATCTCATTAATGTTGTCTTATGTTCTGCTTCCCCAAAAACCAAAGCTCTCCTAGCAGATAAATGCAATTTCCCCAGCAGTTTCCTGGGACAATGGTAGCTGCTTTCTGGCTCTAGTTGGTACCAACACTTAGGTGACTTGAAAAATGAATCATGCAGCACCACACAGGGACATGTTAAATCTACTGTTCTGAATTTTCCTGTGCTTGAATTGTATAAATTGGATAAATTAATGTTTAATTAAAATACATTCAAATTATCCAGTGAATATTTTTAATAGGATCTAATTGTGGCATTTTGAGTGATTTAAATTGCGGATACACAAAAAAAAATCTGAAAACTAGTGCCTGTAAGACCACTGCCTGGTTTTATTTGTTAAAATTTAGAGCAGCTTTACATCTGTGTGTGCTGCTGATGTTGGTGTCTCCTCCTGCAGAAGGACAGGTGGAAGTCAGTGATGGATGCTCATCAAAGGCTCTGAAGATTTTAATCAGGGTCCTTTTCCCTGACTGACAGCTAGAACAGCTCTTCTGTGACATTTGGGGAGGAGGATTTCAGTGCCTCTCCTCTGGAGCCTTCAAAAACATTATGACACTGCCCAAAGCAACAGGTAAGAGCAATTTCCCAGCAGAGATCTCAGGGGTGTTGGGGGTTCCTGTCCTGCAGGCACCAGTGGTTCATGTCCCTCAATATCTCCACAGGTCACAGTGACTCACCTGTGAAGCCATGGCAAGGTCTGGCCCCCTCAGCTAAGTGCTCTCCACCTTTTCCTTTTGCAGCACAGCTGATGCCTTGTGAAGGCTGACCTAGAACAGAGGCTAGATGGAGTTAAAGAATAAAGTAGGTATTTATTAAAAGGCCTCAATGGATCCACCTGGGGCAGCACAAGAGCCCAGCCAGGGCTACACCCAAGATGAGCCAAAATGGTCACAAAATCCCTGACTGGTCACAGGGTCTCTCACTTTGATCAGTTCTGCTCCATTTGCAAATTGGAGTTAATTGTCCAATTACAACTTTAGGCCATGAATTCCCATCCTTCTTGTCTTTCTCTCTTCATTCCGCGTTGTTTATGCTCTTGGGCCTGAGATTTGGATCATTTGTCCTTGGTCCCCAGCTAGAGCAGGAATTGTTTTGTCTCCGTGCTCTGTGCAGAGAGCTCACCATCCCCTAATATGAAGCCTAGACTGACACATTAAAGAAGCACAGAATCTGAAAAATATAAAAGCTAAAAGCTGAGGCATCACAACCACAGGGCTGGAGCACGGGTGGCACAACCCTCAAGTGAGCATTTGCTCTCTCTTGTCCCTTCTCCAGGTGTTCTGAGGACAAAGCTGCCCAGATCCTGCCCCAGGCCGTCCCGTGTTGGCCTTTAGGAAGTGCAGGGACAAGTTCTGACTGTGCAGTACACCATGGGCAGGACTTTACCCCTTGAGGGTAAATGACTGTGATTTCCTGTTGGTCTGTAGGCAGTTGTCATGTTTGTTTGGAGATTAGTAGGGGCTGTGTGCTGGGCCTGAGCCGCAGCCCTGGTGGTAGGCACGGCGTGGGGACACAAGGCCAGGCAGGGCCTCTTATGAGAAAACAGCAGAAACCTTGGCCTTTTCCTCCTAGCAGCCAAAGATGGGTGGAAAAAGGTCTCCATCAGGATATCAGGGAGTGCTTGTTCTGACTAAGGAGAGAGAGGAGCTACTTAGGCTAGAGGAAGGCATTGATATACAGAAAGGGTGGGAATAAAGTAGGAATTAGAAGCAGGCTTCCAACAAGTGGGCTATTCCAGCCTGGGACTGCATTTCCTGGTGAGGCAGCAGTAACAGGAACTGAAATGCTTATTGAGGGCTCAGCTCTTGGATTTATCCCACAGGCACAGCAGGAGGGCCCAGGTCACCCCATTTGTCCTCATGCTCTGGTTTGGCAGAGCTCGGGCACCACGCCAGCCATCTGCACAGCAGCACCGCCCCAGAGACACCTCCCAACGTGTGGGAGGAACAAACATCCCGAAGAGAGAACACTATTTTTGGGCCATGGTCCTTCCAAGTCCTAGCAAAGCTACGAAAAATGCTACAATTTTGGAGGAAGGCAGGAGAGGCCATGCCAAATCGGTGCAACTCCCACACGCATGAAGTCAAGGCATGGCAAAGGCTGAATGTTCCCAGCTCTGGGCCAGCCCCAAGTTCTATGAAGCAATA